TTTTAAAAATAACAAATACATAATTTAAAATGGAAGGGTGATGTTTTAGGCAGCTCTGTCAGTTCTCAGTATTTCATAAAGATATAACCTTTATGAAATACTAATGCTGACTGTGTTTGAATTTGATTGAAAGTCCAACAAAATCCAAAGATTCCATAAGACAAAAAAAATGTGCCTTTTGGTGAACCTGAAGTTGACAAAAGGTGGAGCTTCACTACCAAATTCTGTCCAATCCCAGCAGCCGTCACAAATTGTAGGATTCAGGCATGGTCTCGCTCATTACAAGATGTCATCTATGGAGGTGTTGTTCTCATGCACATGCAAAATGTGCAAAAACCAAGAAGTGACAAATTCACTTTAAGTAATGGAACATAATGTGCCAATAGCCATTTGGCAATAAAGTTAATGCATTTTAATTGGCATGGTTCTGATCAGGTCAGATACATGACTTATACTGGGGTTCACTTTAGGTTCATTATTAGAAAGCTTTGACATGGTTAATCTTGAAATAATAAGAGTAGCAGGACTTAAAGGGAAGTGGAAAAAAATAAAGAAAAATGGAGAAAGTAGAACCTATAAATGAAATTACAGGTAAGTTTATTGAGGGCTATAAAATAAAGAGTTTATACAATAGACCCCAGATAAAGTAGCAGGAAACCCTATAAGTGAGATTATAGGCAGAAGGTGGAAGAAGAACCTATAAACAAAATTATAGGCAATAGTAAGAAGGAGTACCTAATTATAGGCATTAGGCAAGTATATGGAGAGATAATAGAAAACAAGAATTAGCCAATATGCCCCAGACAGGGTCTTTCAGGATAGTTGCAAATAATTGGAATGTTTGTAATTTCCAGGTAAGTTGCGTTGTTTCCGATAGGTGTACAGTAGGTTAGAACCAAAGCAATAAGGAATAAAAGTCCAATTTGGAATAAAGCAGGTTAGTATTGAAGATCAGGTTTTTTCCCAAACCTATTGATATCAAGCAGGTTGTAAATAAAGCAGGTTGGTAGTATAAATAAGGTTGGTTCAACGGTATTCAGAGTAATGCAGGCTTTCTCAGTATGTGCCAGGATCAGATGTCTTGTCAGAATCAGAACATGAACTTCAATGAATGTAAAGCAGGGCTTGACAAATCTGTTTGGAATCTAGGAGCCAGCTAAAAAAAAGTTAGGAGCCAGTTTTTTTTTTGTTTTTTTTAAAAACTAGCGAAGTTTATTTAACGAGAAATATATCATTCTTAAAGGGACGCTATAGTCACCAGAATCACTACAGCTTAATTTAGTTGTTCTGGTGCCTGTAGCCTGTCTCTGCAGACTTTTCAATGTAAACTGCCTTTTCAGAGAACATACACACTGACAGACACACACACACACACACACACACACACACACACTGACGGAGAGACACACACACACTGACGCAGAGACATACACACACACACACACACTGACGGAGAGACGCTCACACACTCTGACAGGGAGAGACGCACACACACACTGACAGGGAAAAAGAGAGACACACACTGACAGTGAGAGACACACACTGACAGTGAGAGACACACACATACTGACAGAGACACACACAGTGACAGGAAGAGACACACACACTGACAGAGAGAGACACACACAAAAACACACACAAACTGACAGACACACACATACACACATACTGACAGAGAAACACATACACACACGCGTACTGATAGAGAGACACACACAGACAGAAAGACACACACACAAACATACATACACAAACCGACATGCATTCACACACACACACACACACATTTTCCATTTTAATTTGAATCCACCCAGCCCCCCTACCTTTGGGAGAGCTGAGTGGAATTTCCCTGGGGTCCAGTGGGGCTGTTCGTTCATCCTGCGTGTGAGGCAGCAGTGATGTTTAAGCGGCTCCTCTCTGCTCCCTGTAATCATGCCGGGGCCAGAATGACATCAGAGAGGAGCCACTTGAAGATTACTGCTCCCTCATGCGCTACGCCAGCCGACCACAGCGATGCTCCGCAGACTGGCCACCTGCACGCTGCTTTAGGCGGCCACCTCCACGCTCCCTGAGCCGGCCGTCCACGCTCCTCAGGGTGACCGGCCGGCTCCATTGTTCCCTTATCCTGCCTAGCTAAAGGGCTTCAAATCCCAGTCGCCAGGGTAAAATTTCTAGTCGCTATGGCGATCTGGCGCCTGGGATTTGTCGAACCCTGATGTAAAACATTATTTTGGTTGTCAGGATAGGATCCTGACATTAATGTCTTTAATTTGTTTAATTTAGACCATTGTTTTTAATTCTCAGATCAAGACCCAAAATTCAGTTCCCATTTTTTTTTTTAGTGGTTACCCAATATGCATTATATTCATCAGGCCCAGGACAACTGCCTGCTATAAAATGGTTACTGAAGCAGTTCTGCCTTCTTAAGTGCAAATGAGATCACTTTGACACTGATAGCAATGCCATGTGTGGATGTTGGGTCTCTTTCAAATAAAGTTTAAGAACCACCTGCTTTAGAAGGAGAAAGTTTACATTTTTACATCTACACGCTTTATAACATTGCCTGCACTTTATTTAAGTAGGTGATATTTGAACAACCATGTAGGTAAATAAAAGATAGCAACTGTGATTCTTTTTTTCACAGTGAAAATCAACCGCCAGTGCTGCCTGAAATTAGTGGGAGTTACAGTTGCAGGCAGCAGATATTACAGCTCAAAACATTAAAATGCAAGCAGGTGCCGCTCTGAAGTGTAACTCACTGCACTCTGGTGGACTGTCATCATCTCTGCAGTACGGGAAAAGAAAGCATGATCAGTCCATTGGTATATATATACTGTTAGAAAAAAGCATTTACAAATCTCTGTTTACAACTATATATTAGAATACCATTCAATATTGTACCTACCATCTTTAACATCTGCTTCCTCCTCATGTCCATTTATATCCCCAGCCTGGGCACTTGCTTCTATTTCTTCTTTCTCTCCTTCTTCTCCAGTCCCGTTGAAGATAGTTATGTTACCATTTTTTTGCAATAGCTGTAAAAATAATTTTTTTAAGTTTTAAAATTCAAAGTTTTAAGGCAGTAGAAGACAAATAAATCCAAACGTTTTATTGCAGTGGTTTCATCATAAAGCATATGTCCCAGAGTTTATTTCAGAGTGTTTTTGGTCAATATTTTTTCCTAAAATTAGTTAACTAATCGTTTCATGATATTTAGCCATAAAAGTTAAACAATGTGTCAGGAACATGGCTAATGTAGCATGGCAGGCCACAGGGTAGACCGTGTTACCCTCCAAAATAAACTTGCACTGGGCCCACCAACACAACTTGCAGCACCTGTTCCACATTTAAAGGGATACTATAGTCACCAGAACAACTACAGGTTAATGTAGTTGTTCTGGTGAGTATAATAGCTCCCTTCAGGCATTTTCATGTAAACACTGTCTTTTCAGAGAAAATGCAGTGTTTACATTGCTCCTAGGGGCACCTCCAAATGGCCACTCCTTAGATGGCCAGTAGAGGGGCTTCCTGGCCCAGGGCTGCACAGTAAGCAGCCCTGCCGTTCAGTGTCCCCACGCTCTGCATGGAGACGTTGAGTTTTCATCATGGGAAAGCATTGGATTGGCTAAAAATCGTCAATTTTGATGATGCCACCAAAGGGACGGGGCCAGCACCGACTGACCCGTGGAGAGCTGAAAATAAGGTGAGTTTTAACCCATTCTGAGGGTGCTAAGGGGGGAGGGGCAAGAGACCTAAATGGTGGGTTTTCACTATAGGGTCAGGAATACATGTTTGTGTTCCTGACGCTATAGTGATCCTTTAAGGGATTATCAAGGCAAAGCAGATACTATTTTGTGTGTAAAGTGCTAAAATCTGACACATTCTTTACTTGTTTCTATGGTGATTACTTGTTTAGTGTTTTGCCATAGAATAGCATGTTTTATCGTTTAGTAATCCCCCCTAATCTCCTAATTAAGGTCCATTTGTTACTTTTAGCAGACCACCAACTGTGCATTTAGTTTTAGAAAATATTTTACAATTACTCTATGTAATAAACTTAAAACCGACTTAACTCCAATATATGTCAAAACTCTGTATGTGTGCATAACTTGGAACATCATCAATTATTGTTAATTCAATAAATGCTACGTATCATTCCTTTGCCACACCTAAATTCAATTAGTTATGTGTTCACCGATACATATTTTTTTAATATATATTTATTATATATAGGCATTCAATTGAATCAGAAGGATCCAGATTACTGCACCTATCCTGAACACAAAATCCTTATAAAAGACTTGAACATAAGTCTTGCACTGTATCTTCCTTCCTCGTTACAAATCAGCATGCTGTTAGGATCATTACTAGGAAACAGATTGTTAAAGAGTACCTGTTATGAAAAACCTCATTATCAATGTCAATACACATTGTAGTAGCCAAATTGGTACATGTGCACATACAATGTTATCACTAGGTTTCGTTTTTAGTTTTGTACTATTTAGATAGTTAGTGAAATAATGCTATAGTAACAGCAAAGCTAAATAACCAGAGATAATTGCACAGCTTTAGAACAAAAAGGGTTTTTTTTGTTTCTTTTTTTTTCCTAGTGGTTTTGAAATCCCTAGAGATCTTATTGGTGGGTTACAAGATAGCCCTGAAACAAATATTTCCTGAAGTCTTGACCTTTGGTCTAGCCGTGCTCAAAAACGCAGTCTGTAGGCTTTCCCAGAGCTGTAAAAACATCCAAGACTCTCTCATTAAATGTGCAGAGGATGTGCTTGGACTCAATAAATTGGACTGCAAGCATGATCCTCTCTGCAAGGATTCTCTCAGGCCATCAGGGATCGATTTAAACCTATGCCAACTAGATATGTTGGCATGCTGGAGGGAACTAGCAGGTTGTTTTTTATTTTTAAATTTTTATTACTATACACAACATTAGGTGTCTGACATCTTCGTTACTCCTACTGCTGTGAAGGGCAGGCATAGGCAACCTTCGGCACTCCAGATGTTTTGGACTACACCTCCCATGATGCTTTGCCAGCATTACAGGTGTAAGAGCATTATCGGGGATGTAGTCCAAAACATCTGGAGTGCCGAAGGTTGCCTATCCCTGGTGTAGGGTAATATACAAATGCAACTAAAGCCAATAATGGGAAAAATGGAAACAAAAACCATATGAAAATATGAATAAAAAATAAGATTGAATAAAAAAAAATAATAAATAAATTAAAAAAAGCACAAATACATATAATAAATGCAAGATCAGTACTTTTGTAAAATATTAATAAATGAATATACTGTAAATTCAGCAGTGGCAAAAAAAACAACATTTTAATTTAAATTAAAAGAGCACGGACAGTGAAATGAGCAGATCGAATCTTCATTAGAAATAAGACAAAATGGGGCGTGTCTAGGCACGGAGAGAGATGGCCGCATGAGCTCTTAGCTCCGCACCACGAGCAAGGCAATAGCTTTCCTAAGTGGGAACCCTGCAAGAAAATAACCGATGTCGCAGCCCAAAACCCGCCGGCACCAAGATAAGCCCGACAAAATGAGCTTCTTCGCTCAGAAGAAAGGGGCAGCTCTGGCAAAGCAAGCAGACACAGCAGGCCATCAAGATGGCGCCGACCACTCCGGGGGGAGCAGCCCAAGATCAGAGGCGGATTCACTGCATGACGGAGAACCGCTCACAGCTGCCTTCCTAAAGAGAGCCCTGGACGAACAATCACGAAGGCTGGTTGCTACCTGGCAATCCAGCGTGGCAGAACTTAAACGGGACCTCCTAGATATCGGATCTCGCACAACACACGTGGAAGCAAAGATGGAGGACTTAGTCGACGCGCACAACGCGTCCACAGAGCACCTAAAATCCCTCACAGACCAGATCCAGAAATGTGAAGCAAAACTCATGGATCTAGAGGATCGCTCTAGAAGGAGCAATATCAGGCTGAGAGGTATCCCAGAGACGGTCCTCCCGGCAGACCTACCCAGTTATGTGCACAGCTTCTTCAAGCTCCTGACACCAGAAATACCCACAGACATGTTGCTGCTAGACCGTCTGCATAGGGTGCCTAAACCTCAACATATTGCCACATCCTTACCTAGGGACGTGTTATTGAAAGCTCACTACTTTCATGTTAAAGATCTCCTGATGAGAAGAAGCAGAACCGTGAAAGATCTACCGGCCGAATACACAAGCATCAAAATGTTTTCAGACCTTTCAGCAGCCACCCTGAAACAACGGAAAACCTTCCAACAGGTGACAGAAACTCTACGCGCCAACCGTATCCTGTACCGCTGGGGCTTCCCTGTCCGACTGATCGTTTCAAGAAATGGTACTACCACCGCAGTACAAACAGCAGAAGAAGGCATACACCTCCTGCATCAATGGAACCTAACCATCATAGGCGACACGCAAGCCCCAAAACCACCGAGACAAGTGGTCAAGGACTGGCACATCGCCGACTGAGGCCTTACCGCAAGTATACCCACTTTGGCGGCCACCATGTTCCTAACAGACTCACAATTAGCAATGGCTTCTGGCTACTAATACCACAAGGGTCAGCCCACTAGAGCCTGAAAGTCGTTGATACACTTAGCTACACGGCAGTTTGCAGTACACAAACAAATGTCTATTTTTTATGCCATCTTTACTTGTTCATACCGTTTGCAGAATGTACTAGCAACATAGCAATGTATATGACCTAATTGTTTATCTGTTACTGTTAATTGCCACCTCCTTGAAGCATGCGTAACCCCCTGGCCACACACTATCTGATGGTCGCTAAAGACCGATAACGTACCCCTTAAACCAGGGACACCAAACGTAATACAGCAAACAACTCACTCATGGGTCTAGGCTGCAGTCATACTCACGCAGCTGGGAGACCCCGGATATAAAACCTTACCGCACATATACCCGCTTGGGCGACCTACCCAATATTATTATGCCCAGAATTAACGTTGACTCCTAGCCACCATTACACTTAAAGCCAGCTCGTTAGAGATTGAAATACGCAACTTGCAGTACGCAAATAACTGTCAATCTTCATGTCGTTTGTTCATATTGTTTGCAGGGTGTACTAGCAACAGTGCAATGTATATGACCTTAGAGTCTATCTATTACTGATACATGCTACCTCCCTGAACTTACGTAACCCCCTGGCCACACTCTATTTACCGGCCGACAAGGCCCAACAACCTACCCCCTAAACCAGGGACACCAATAGTAATATAATGGACGACCCACTCATGGGTCCAGTCTGCAGACACGCTCGGGCGGCGGGGAAGCCCCCCCCGGTATAAAACCCACTCGAGTTTCTGATCCCCATCCCCTTCCTAGAATGAAGCACCAAAAGGGTTTCTCACTATATTTACATAAGGTGCCTTTCACACACCATATGGTTCATTTAAGGGTCACACAGGACCACACCTGACCTAAGGATGCCCCTCAAAAGACCATTTGGCACCACACATCGTTAGCCTGCTCAGGCCACCACCTGTCCACCATCTCCGATCCCACGCTCCCCACGGCGCTGATTAGCAGCGCCTTGCACCGAGATCGGGCCACCATGTATATACTTTGGTTAACTAAGTTTATTTCTTACTATCCCTGTTTCACTCCCCTGTTGGGATACCACCCTCCCTACCCTACCCAAACATCCAAGCAAAAACGTGCCGTACAAAGTGGAACCCTTGGGTCCTCGGTTTGTGAACGACAGCACAAAGCACACCTCACTTCTCAAGACACTGACCTGACCGATAGCGCTCTGCCTTATACCATACACTGATAGTTTATTCCCATAATGTCAGAGGGCTCAACATGCCACACAAAAGGCATATGCTACTTCAAGAAGCTCGGAAATCAAAAGCAGACATACTGTGTCTCCAAGAGACTCACTTTCCCAAAGCCAAAATCCCACAATTTAGAATGAAACATTTTCCCCATCAGTTCCACGCCACGCACATGTCCAAATCCAGAGGAGTCTCCATATATATACACAACTCAGTAGCCTTTGAACTACTACACTCCATTTCAGACGATCAGGGCAGGTACCTGATTGTTGTCTGTTTGTTGAATGATGTACAACATACAATAGTAAACCTCTACGCACCTAACGAAAATCAGAAAAACTTTTTGACCAGTACCCTCCTGAAAGTGGCAGCTGTACAGAGAGGCAACACTATTATATGCGGAGATATAAATCATGTATTAGACCCAACTCTAGATACCTCTATGCCCTCCTCCACCAACCGACAGAAATCCCTCAAACCAACCTGCAAGGCCATAACACAATTGTTGATGAAATTCAACCTCTATGACTGCTGGAGATTGCTCCACCCTCTGGATAGAGAGTACTCATATTACTCTAAACCCCACAAAACACACTCTAGAATAGATGTAATACTTATAGCAGGACCATCTCTCAACCTACTTCAAAAATGTCACATTGGTGACATCATATGGTCAGATCATGCCCCAATACTCGCTACATTCAGGGATAACTTCTCTTTTAGAGGTTGCAACCCATGGCGCCTCAACTGTTCCCTTTTACACGACGATAAATTCAGTTCAGACATGGATATAGCACTCAAACAATATTTTTCCGAGAATGAAACATCAGGGATGTCCCCAGCAGTGATATGGAGAGCCCATAAGGCCGTAATGCGAGGGCTGTTTATACGAAGGGCCTCTTTTCTAAAACGGACCTCCCAAACTAAATACCTTAATCTATTAAGGAAATTAAGAGACGCTACAGCGTCCCACCTTCTCCACCCGAACCCAAAAGATGCGGCAACTATTGCCCAAACACAATCAGACCTCAACGACTTTAATATAGCGAACACAACCCGAACACTACAAAAACTGAAAGCCAAAGAATACTGCTTGGGTAACAAAGCTAGCTCGCTCCTGGCCACCCGACTCAGGGACGTGCAGGCACAAACCAAAATAGCATACCTCACTTCCCAGGATGGACAGAAAATAATCCAGCCACAACAAATCAGCGAACTTTTCGCAGACTTTTACAGCAAACTCTATAACCTAAAAGATGACGCTACAGTACACCAGCCCACAAAGGGAGAAATCTCTACCTTTCTAGACAAAGTCCGCCTACCTACACTCTCAGCGACCCAACAGGAGCTCCTGGCTGAACCCATCTCTCAAACAGAGGTGCACAGGGTTATACAAAATCTGCCGCCAAACAAAACCCCAGGCCCAGACGGACTGCCAAACACATATTACAAGAAGTTCTCCTCCATACTCGCCCCCCGGCTAACGTCACTCTTCACTTTTACCACAACACAAGAGAACATACCACCAGATATGCTCACGGCCAATGTGGCCACCCTACCCAAACCTGGCAAATCACCAACCCAATGCGCGAATTTCAGACCGATCTCCTTATTGAATTCGGACGTGAAGATCCTGGCCAAAATCTATGCCAATAGAATGACATCTATACTGCCGACCATAGTACACTCAGACCAAGTTGGCTTTGTACGAAGCAGACAGGGAGCTGACGGCACTCGGAAAGCACTCGCGTTACTACACACAATGCACAGGCGCTTCCCCAACAGTCTCCTTTTGTCCTTAGACGCTGAGAAGGCCTTCGACCGCCTGCATTGGTCGTTCCTGCAGGCGGTCTTGGTCAAATTTGGATTCCCTTCACAATTTATCTCCATGATCAAATCTTTATACAGTAACCCTGAGGCCCGGGTCTTCACGTCTGGATTCCAATCGAGGCCTTTTCCCATCACCAACGGCACCCGCCAGGGGTGTCCTCTCTCACCACTCCTATACATTCTAGCTTTAGAACCACTAGCCGAATCCATACGCACATCACCAGAGATAACGGGAATAAAAATAGGTGGGTCGGAATACAAACTAAATCTTTTCGCTGACGATATCCTACTAACCCTAACGAACCCACACAAATCTTTACCAGCATTCCACAACTTACTGCAACAATACAGCCATTGCTCTTATTACAAACTGAACCTATCTAAAACACAGGCCATGGGGGTGAGTATGGAGGACGACTATCTGTCCAACCTGAAGAGTCAGTTCCCATATGATTGGAGGAAAGACCACCTC